TTTTGGGCGATATTAATACGCATAAAAATTTTGTCATCAGTATTATTTTCATTACTATATTGATAATGTGTCGGTATTGTAATACGCGAGACATCACAATTAATAACTTTGGCAATATCACTACCCATGTTTTTAACAAAGTTAGATTGATCGCTTGATGATGAATCTAGGTAAAATTGAGTTCCTTGCTGGGTTAGGCGAATGATAACGCTTACATCACCTATGCATTAAATTTACGTTAATAATGATATATATAGATTTTTTTATAAACAACTATATCTTACACCATCCCATTTAGAGATGCTGGTGAAATTAATTTCACCAATTCAACACTAACTTCATCAATAGTGATGAAATTATTTCACCACTCTAGTTTAATTTCACTGGCAAATTTGCCTGTAAGATGACATAAGAAATAAAACCTTGTGAAATTTATGATTACCTGTAGAGGTATCAGTAACGTCGGCTAAAATAAAAATATAGAATTGTATTAATAACTGAAAACAAAAAATGAAATAATTAATTAAACACATAGTTATAAATGTAATAAATACATGTAATAAAATTCCACACAGGTTTTTTGATACCAATAAGGTTCTGATTTTGCATGTTTTGCATTGCATCATCATCTACTGTAATGTAATATCTCTTATGACCATTACTTGTAAAGCATGATAACAGCACTACAGTTACATTTTCATTGTTAATTATAACTCTATCATTGGAAGCAGGAATTACGCCACGCAAAGAATCAGCACCTCCGATGGTGTTTACTTCCCAGATTTTGAAAGATCCAGTGGATTTATAAACTGGAACACTATACGTTATAGTAATTTCTTGAAGTGATGGCGTAATGACCGAGTTCGTTTCTGGTGTGACATACGTGACATAGGCCGAACCAAGCAAACCAACTTTTTTTTTTAAAAAAAAAGGCATATTTAGATCAATAAAGTTTGTAATATTTGTAACAATTTTAATTATCTCTTACCTGGACGGAAATTTGTCAGCGTGTCAGATGATTCAACAGTCCAACTTGAACCATTATTTATAGTATTTGCGCCTTGAGTAATGGTCCACACAGTGTTGTTTGGAGTAATATCAATGATCGGTATGTCGGATATAATGGTAGAAAGTTCCCAAGGTCCATACTGGGTCCCATTATTATAATATATAAGCCCTTTAATACTGCCAACGTCTGCAGCATTTGTAGTGTCCTTAGCCACAAAAATGTAGCCACCATAGGATAAAATATCGACATCTATCACAGTAGTATATGGTGCTGGCAAATTTATACTAATTTCATTCACATTATCGACAGAACCAGAATACAGAAAATTAATATTAACGTATACAGCTTTATCGGTTCGTTTAATATATACTAAACAATTGTATCCAACTGATTCCTGTGCAACAGAACATTGGTACAAGTAATAATCAGTAGTATTTGTACTGGGCTGCGATTCATAGATAAGAGCATTTCCTTTAGTTGAAGAGTCTGTATAAGAAATCCAAGTTAAATAAAGTTGCCATGGACTTGTTATTCCTTGTCCAGATTGAGACACATATTTTGTGTAAACCAATCCATAATCATTCTCAATAGGAAAAATATTTATAAATTTTGGAAATTGCGTCATATCGGTAATCTTAGTAATTTCATTAGATTGACCAGTCATGCCAATCATAATCGAACCATCTGTATTTCTAAAAAGATCAAGATTGAATAACGCTAGAACTTTGAGTAAATAAAATTGTAAAACATAAAGCATTTCAATCAAAAACCTACAATGTGTATGGTGTCCAAGATAAAATATTAGTTGTAGAGTTGTAACATGCATACAAAAATCCATCACTTTTATAGTTTTAATTATTTTGGTAGCTGAGCAACCTTCACTAAAAGGGATCACATCTCTACGCAACGGATCAAATTAATGAATATGAGCAATAAGTATTCGTTTTTTACGAAAAATTTTTCAAGTAACTTACCCTCGAATATTATAATTAGACCAATCTATTATAATTCCACACATTTGATAGGATTGTGGATAATTACAATAATATGTTACAAGGATAAATGGTCTGGAGAGAGCATAAATATTGATAGTACTGTATAATGAAGTTTTTGATCTCGGTATAACAACTCCAGGGCCATTTGGAGAAATTGGTATAGAGGTTGTTGTATTTGAAAAACAAAAATTATTCAATGGTATAGTACTATTGCTATTATAATTAAATTTGGTAATAGTTCCATCTTTAGCAATTATACGAAAGTATAATGTACTATCTCCACATGACCCTGATATACTAGATTTAAGTAGTATTAAGATTGTATCATCAGAATAAGCATCAACTTGAGCTACCATTAATGATGCATTTTCATTATACGAATTTATAGTAACTTTAGCATCAGATATTATTATTAAAAAACATAACCCTATTAATATTGAAAGGGCTACGCGTTTAAGATGAACTCGCCCTTTCCGACTATGTTGTAGTTTGTTGGTAAGAAAAGTCCAAGCGTCCATGAATGCTTTAGAAAAAAAAGAGGACAACCAAATTTCGAGAGCATAGGATGAGGTTTCAATTTAATGAAATCCAATTCCAAAATTTATTGAATGGCTACGCACGTGCGTATGTACAGTACAGCAGCGCGGATAATCTACAACATATTGTATATTTTTTATATGCATTTATATGTATATGTTGTACGTACGTACTGTACGTTAGAATGAATTACGTATTATGGATTTAGAATGCATTAGCGTTAGGGGTTTCAAAGTTAATCTAATTTTGACAGAAATAGAAAACGTATGTATTTTCAAATGAACGATGTACAACTTTAATCATTTTTCGGTAAATTTGAAATAATGATTTTTGTCATTGTCGTTGAAAAGTTTATTTCGTTAAATGGGGTCTCTAAACACTCCCCCATTTCATTTCCGATTTTAAAATTTTGAAATGTCATTAAGATTTTTTTTCAAACTCCCATTTATTTTTAAAATGCGCTACCTTTTCTTAACTTTTATAGGTTGATTTCAAATAAACATAGGTTATCATAGATTTCTAAATCTTATTCAATAAAATTAAGTGGATTCGTTTTGCATTTTATAAAAGGTTTATTTATAATGCAGACTAATTAATGATATTCTCAAACCTCAATCTCGATGTGATTACACAACTATAAATATTTTAAATCAGGGTGAAACCTGAGTTGATTTTATTATCAGTGTGGATACGAAAAGGGTGATGTCCGCGTTTTTTAGGTTACCTTTTTGATGCATATCTACAATTAATTAGAGTAGGTGATGGTGTACATCAATAACGTAACCACCTCTGACGCCTGTCGTATTATATTTATATATAATTCTTGATGCAATTTGAATAAGTAAATTTAATATGCAAATTAAGATGTAATCAACCGTTATTCTTAAATTCTTAATGCGATTAACTAGTAAACATGACGATGCTCATTTATTATAATCAATCAAAATAAAAATTGCAATTGATACTTGTGCGATTCATTATTTTCAAATGTCGTCGTCACTAGTTTTATATCTTCAATTGTTGTATGAAATGAAGAAATTATTGGCGAAATAGTAAAATTTGCTAGCAAAAAATGTTAAACATCCGTATTTGTTTTTTGGGCTTTCTGATTTTTTTTTTTATTGCTCATAAAAACTTTGGTGTAATGTATAAAAAAATAATTCATTGATGATGAAAAAGTTACTTAAGTGATCTTTTTGAATACTCAATTAATTGTAAATTTTGACAAGTTCGGTATATAAAAAAGATGGTTTGCGACAAAATGGTTGTAAATTGAAATGACAAACTCACTTAACGTTTTTTACTAATAAATATATTGTATTCACGTAATAAATTTTATCAAATACTGAAATAACGTTTATTTATTTAAATATTCATCACAATGACGAACACATTTGACTCGCTTAAAATATTTTCCGCTAAGTAAATTTATTTACCGACACTTTTTGACCTATTGATTAATGACGATATTTATAGAATTAAATGCTTGAGCATACTCTTTCTGTTTTTCGTGATCTACGTTATGCCACCTAAAACTCTTTAAAAAAATTTCTACTCAATCGGTGCCAAAACTTTAACTTCGGCTGTGTCGGTTTCTCTTTAATGATTTTATCAATTTAAATCTTTTGTTGCAACAACAATAGAATCTATTTATGGAATCATTAGTAAAAGTTGCATTACAGCAACAAGAATTTTTTTTTTCTTTGTAAATATTAATATTAATATTAAAAATTTTTATTGAATGAAAAATGTATAGCAGTATTCATTACGGTTTGATTAAGGGTTAAAATATGGGATATATTTATTACGTTCAGGTCTAGGTATCAATTATTTGATTTAAAAGCTTCAAGAATTAAAAATAAAGTGATTATTTTTCATATTGGCTTGAAATTTGTTGAGAATTCATTATTTATTTTTTTTTGATATGTAAATAATGTCTGAGCGACCTTTATCAATAATAAATTCTTGAAGAAAAAAGATGGTTTGTATCTCGCTGATTTGTTTATCGAAATAGTAACTCGGTTAATTTTTCAATTTCTGACTAATTAAAATTTTGCCTCCGATCCATTGAGCGAGGTGCTTGAGAACCTCATAAGGCGCTTGAGAATGCCCTAAATTAAAAGCACTATGTGAAGTTTTTAGTTACAGGCTAAAACCCCAAACAAAATCTTAACAGGATCATAATCCCGGCAAGCCTAGCCGCCGCATCAACCACAGTTCCGATCAATTTTTGTCGGGATTTGGTTTGGTAAGATTCTGTTAGTCAGAATATTAGCCTGTAACCAAAGTTTTTACGCTTGAATGCCGCCAAGTGAAAACCAAAATTCTAAAAATAGAATTCTTTAGACAAAAGAATACGGACTTTAAATGATACTATTATGCGATCAAAAAACAGCATAATTTATTATTCTAGTCAGATCGGTTAAAAGCCCGCATTCCGTTATGCAAAGAAATATATTTTTAGAATTCCTGGTTTTCACTTGGGGTACTCATTTATGGTTACTAGAATTACAACTACTACCCAGTGAAAAAAATTCGATGTGCGCATGTGCGCTCCGCACATAAAAATTTTTTTGCACACAAAAAATTGTGCGCAAAGCGCACATAATTTATTAGCAGTATATTTTAAATAATGTGCGCTATATAGTTAATAAATTAAAAGCGCACATTATATTTAATA